TGTGTGTGTGTGTGTGCAGGGGTTTTCCTGCATGGAGGAATGTTTGCACCCCCACCCAAAGAGGTTTTAGCCAGCTCCAAGTCCAAAGGAAAAGTTTCCAGCACCAAATAGTCCCAGGTGATATTTACCAAAAAAACCGAGCCCCTTATAATCCCGTGTGCCTTATGTATGAGTTCTGGTTGTGTTTACTGACCTCGAACCGTTTTTATGTGCACGGATGCTGCGTACGAGTTTGATGAGGGGTCGGATGGAGCCGAGCAGTGTGAGGTGCTGCTCCGGTCGGAGTCCTCGCTGCCCTGCAGCTGCTTCATCCCGGCGGTGTCTCATTACTGATGACTGACGCGGAATTTGGTTGGAGCCAGTTTAACTGTCGGGATGAGTCGATTCGCTGCTCAGCAGCACAAACACACTCAGTCACACCTCTGCTTTCCTAAGCTTTTGCACAGTGCTGGTCCGTCAGCTGTCTCCATGCTTGCCCTGAACCTTTCAGGGACCTTTCAGGGATTACTTGACAGACAGCTGAACTTTAACCTTGCAAACTGCTGCCAGAGATGATTTATGGTTGTATGTGATAAGGAGACTGGTGTGTGAGATTTGTGCTCGTTTGTTTGGGGGGAGAGGGATGAGCTGCTTTAAATGTGCCCGAGGAGATCATTAGCTTTGTGTTTGTGCCTTTTAAATGTTTGAATGAATTTCTACATTTGTGCATTTTTACTCTGATTATTGTTCAGGGTCTTTTATTTTGGTGGTTTGGACACGAGCTGAACTCACGAATCTGCCGATTAATGAGTTTCTGGCCAGACTGATGGCACAGAGAGGATGAAGATTTTAAATGATTCATGGGTTCAATCATTTCTGTCAGCACTGCACATCTTTTTTTTCTCTTTTTTTTCCCTGTCTCGTTTGGCTCTTTTGCATCATAATTGTTGTCTAAAGGCAAAGAAAGATGCCCAACGGATTTACTTTACCAAACTGACCATCCCAGCCTTGCCGTAATGGTCCATTTGATTCACCTTTTATTGTTTATTTTATTTTCACTTACTGAATACGGGACAGACTTGACTGGGGGAAAGAGAAACAGCTGAGAAGAGGGACGGGGGAGAAGGGCAAAAGACAAAAACCAACAGAACGGGCAGAGAAAAAAAAAATGCATATATCAATCACCTGGATCACCTGCTGAGAAAGAAAAAAGAAAACAAGCAGAAGAGAACAAGAGTAATAGAATAAACAACATCACAATGATATATGGGAATATGACAGTAAATACTAAATATTAAACATTATTGTGCAGCACATAAGATCAACAGAACACAGTGTGCTTTGAGGTAGGAGCCAAAAAGGGTGTAGTTTGTGGGTGTGATCACCCGTGTGTACACCTGTGAGCATGGACGCGCTTGTTTTTTGTTTTTTTAAAAGGTTCCTTCATGTAATGATCTGCTAGAGGGTGTGGGGGGGCCACAGCCCCGTCCTCCAGGGCGTGAAGCAGGTGTGGAGGAGATCAAGACTCCAGACATCCAGAGGCCCCCAGAACACAAGAGACCAAGGAAGACCAACAGAGGGGCAGCCGCGCCACTGTCCCAGAAAGAGCTGAGGAGAGTCCCAGATGAGGGCTCACTCAGCAGCCGCGGAGCACAAGCCAGGGGGGGTTGCAGTGACGCGCCCGTGAGCTCCGCCGGCCGCCAGCTGTGCCTGAGTGACCCCACCTCCGAAGTGCACATCAGAGCTCTGGAACTTTAACCTGCATCCATGGAAACATTAACGCTTCCCACAGCCTGATGACGACACCCGGGAGTGAATGAACGTGATTGGATGAACCAGTAGAACATCATGTATACATCTTTGGCATGAATGCATGAACATTCAGTGACACTGTGAAACATTATGAAGGTACAACTTAATAAAGCTTCACCTGAGCTGGAGCTCTGCACCGTGTTTGTGCTGTTGGAGCATTTTAATGACGTCATGTGACCAATAATATGGCTGCTGTGAGGTCACTGCACTAACACACCGTCCAAGGAGGCGGAGCTCCAGTTTTGGTGAAACTTTGTGACTGTAATTGGATGTTACTGAGTCTGTATGATGCTCCTGCACAGACTGTGGATACCAAACAACACAGCATTAGCTGGGAACTTGGCAGTGTGTGTGTGTGTGTGCGTGCGTGCGTGCGTGTGTGAGTGCGTGCGTGCGTGCGTGCGTGTGTGAGTGCGTGTGCGTGTGTGTGTGTGTGTGCGTGTGTGTGTGTGCGTGTGTGTGTTTTCCTCTCGTTCACGTCTCGCGTTCAGCCCGTGCTCGGCGGCCTGCGTCCTCGCTCTCGTCTGTTTGATTTCCGTCTGCTTCTCTTCCTGACCCTCCTCTTCCTCCTCTCGTTAGTCTTCCTCTCCCACACTTCGACCCAGATCCTGGTTTTTCCTGAGTGCACTGCTGGGTTTGCTGTTTGACTGGGAGGTGAGCTGGGGGATGAGATTTGGGACTGGAGGCGCTGGATGAGTGTCGGCGAGGGATTTAGCGATGCAGCTTATCGGGGGCAGAGATGGGAAACTGCAGCTTTCCTGCCTCGTTGCTCTTTGTTTATTTTGCAGTGTGGATGTTGGACTCGTGTTTAGCCGGCTGCTCATCTCTTTCATGGCTCATTTTAGGAGGATTGTTAGTGAAAGAGTCAAATCTGCTCAGTTTTCAGTCTTGTGTTTCTTGTGCTTGGACACAGTGTTTCACTGCTGCTGTGGACGATGGAGAGATCAATGAGCTCCTCTTTGTTCTCTTTGGCCTTCTTCTTCCACAGAATCACACGGAGTTTAAAGTCATGCGTGTCATAGTTTGAAGTCCATGACGCTGGGAGGTGGAGGTTACTGCGCACATATCACGGTCCTGAGATCATGTTTGTGTTTGTAGTCAGTCATGTCGTCCGCTCGGTGCAAACTTCATGTTCACGTTGCTGCGTTTGAGTCCCGTCCAAGACCGCGGGCTCCACTCCCCCTGTCCCGCCCTCTGACTCCCGCCGTGGCTGATTGGGCTGGTCCCTCAGTCCCTGCTCCAACCAGACTGCACCGTCAGTCACAGTCATTAACCGCGCTCACCTGTAGTCCACTATGAGCCGTCTGCTGAACCGGATCAAGTCGGTGTTTCTGCTGTCGTCAGTGTACCTGGAGGGAGTCGTTTTGTTGTGTTGTGTAGCTGATGTCGCGTTTGAGGACAGCGCTTTGTGTTTGCACATCAGCAGTGAGACAAGCGTAGCAGAGTCCAGCCCGCTGTGGTCATCTGTGAAATGGCAGACACTCGGCGCTGAGGGAGGACGAGGAGCCCTCAGGTCGCAGCAGACCTCCGCCTCGTCGCGCCCTCCGGGTTAAACCGTGTCAGACTCGGGTTCGAGGTCCGCTGTCAGGACTGACATGGTTTCACTGAAGCCTTCAAACACTCAGGATGGAAGAGGATTCATTTATGTTTCGAGAGAAGTTGAACGTCATGTTTTAATTAAGTGGTAATTTAAGTATAACAAACACAGTGTGAGCTGAGTGAAACGAGTGAAGTCAGAGTTTTATAGATGAAAGGAAAGAGGAGCCAAATAATCTCATACCTCACTTATCTTGTTCCAATAATCAGCCGAAGCCAGAATTCCAGCTGATTAATCGCACAGCCTCCGGCTGAAGGGCGAATGGAGCAAGAGGACGAAGAGCGATGAAGAACTCTTCAAGTCTTAGTTCTGATCTGTGACTCACAACATCATCTCAGACATTTTATTTTTGCGTTATTGTGAGAAACAGCCGTGTGCTTTTCATCGTCGTTTTTTTAGCGCTCGGCTGTAAAAGGCTGGTGACAGAGGTCGTCTCCTGAAATGTTCTCAGTGACCTCGGCCTCAGCTGCTTCTGCTTTTCTCTCCTCACTTTAACTGTTCGTCCTTTTTCTTTGTCTGTTACTGAAGGACGAGGTCAGAGGTCACGTTTTCTGAAAATCGCGTGAACACAAAGAGGAACACTAAGTCGTTTGATCGATGCTGTGCTACCTGCAGCCCGTCCGCGTTTCTGATTGGTCAGATGCTGCAAACTCCGCCTCTTGCGTGTGAACACCCTCATGGTCTCACTGGGAAATCTTGAGTTTGTGCTACCCGCAGTGCACGGTTTCGGGAAAGCAACAAATGCGTGCAGGTCGACAGTGATGTCACCACGCGCACGTAGAATGCTGATTGGTTTAAAAGCTGACTTGGACAGGAAGAGGAGCACGAGCGGCGTCATTAACCTGCAGGAGGAGGGGACGGCAGTTTTCGGCGTCCTGTCCTCTCAGGAGTTCAACCAAAGCACAACAAACATGTTTGTGACACTGCCCCCTGCTGACAGCGCATGACAGACCATGTGACCCTGTAGCCTGAGTCATGATGTCAGAGTGGGTGGAGCCAAATAAGGGAAGGATGTCGTGGACATGTTGAATCTGCCGGAGCGAGCTGCCGTCTTTAATGTGGCTGTTCAGACACCATGAGGTTTCCAGCCCAGCTGGTTATTTTTACACTAACTACACTCGTGCACGTGATTAACTACACTCGTGCACGTGATTAACTTCCTGGGCTGATGGCGTGCACTGCCTGAAAGCTGTCAGTTTACCTTTGGAGGTCCAACATGTTACCTGTGCAAACGGGGCAACAGAGGCAAAAGCAGAGGGTGTGTTAGTGGTTTTACCCTCCGCTGAGCCCCCAGCTGCTGAAGCTAAACCTGCTTCATTTCCTCTCCTGCTCTGCTGCCTCGCTGAGACTTGTTCCCACAGTCCCACAGCTCCTCGGAAACTTCCTCTGGAGCGGGGAGGGCGGCGGAGGCGGGGGCTGAGCGAGGGGGCAGGAAGGACCGGAGCTTTTCTTGGCCCGGCGTCTGAGACCAGCTTCACCACAGCCAGCTTTTCATAACCCAAGCTGGCACTGACAGCCGAGATAACGTTCAGCCGTTACAGCACGAATGTGTTTCATTTAGACCCTTCAAGAAAAATACTGACACACATCGAATCCGAGCGATTATTGGAACACCAGCAGGAAACGATCAGAGTCCACCAGGTATCCAAGTAACGCCTCGCTCCACCTTTACTGCGCCGGGCTCACAGGAAAACTAGAGCCAGCAGAGACTTTGATTGGGAGCTTTGAAAGGCTGTGAGTGGACGACCATCACGGCGGTGGTCCGGGCCGCCGTCGTCCCCGTCTGTTTGTTTTCTTTATTTTTATGGGTTTTTTAAATTTGTTTTATTGGTTTTCTAATTTATACAACATGTACAACAATACAAGTTAATCACAGTGGGGGGAAACATAAAACAAACAAACAAAACAAACGATTTTTATGGTTTTTAATACTTCTTATGTTATTAAATTTGTATTTTTAGGTTTATATTATGTTTTTGTTTTGTCTCTTTCTCATAGCGCTCTCTTTCTGTGTTTCTGTCTCCAGGGTGAGGACGATGCTCTCCTGATTCTCGGCGTCCTCGTCCACCCCGTCGCCTCCACCATGAACCACACTCCCAGCCCCCACCTGTCCGACGGCGGCAAGCAGGCCGGCGGCGGCCTGCTGTGCAGCTTGGGTCTGGGATCCGACCGGGGCGTCCGCTCCCCGGACAGCCTCACCCACACCCCCAGCCCCACGGGAGGAACGCCCAGCTCCAGCCCCCCGCTGCTGCTGTCGCCCGGCCTGGGGGGCCTCGGGCTCGGCTCCCTCGGGGCCATGGGCGAGGCAGCCGGAGCCGACTGGGAGAGCAGGGAGGAGCTGAGGCTCAGGGAGCTGGAGGAGGCTCGGGCCAGGGCCGCCCAGATGGAGAAGACCATGAGGTGGTGGTCGGACTGCACCGCCAACTGGAGGGAGAAGTGGAGCAAGGTGGGAGAAATGTAGCTCAGTGGCACGGAGCAGGGTGGAGACCGGGCTGGGTGGGGCTCTAGGTGGGGATGTGGTTCAGTATCTGAAAGAAAGGCTCAGCTATAATATTTCTATGACATCGATCCACTGTGAGCCTGTACAGAGAAATAATATTATTAATAATAATGTGATACAGACGCTGAGGTGTTTTAGATGATGTCCTATAAAGAGGTTTGACAACCCGCCTGCTCAGTCAGTCGTCGTCTTTGTTTCCAGGTTCGTGCGGAGCGTAACCGAGCGCGCGACGAGGTCCGTCAGCTCAGGCAGCGGCTGGACACCCTCACCAAGGAGCTGACCGGCATCCGGCGCGAGCGGCAGGAGCTCGCCTCGGAGAACGAGACGCTACGGCAGGAGACGCTGCGCCTCCGCGGCGACCACGCGGCCCCGCCTCTATCCGCCACATCCCCCTCCTCCTCACCCGCGCACCCCCGCGGCGCTTCCTCGTCATCCTCGCCGTCCATCCCCCCTTCCTCCCCGGCGTCATCCTCCTCTTCCTCTCAGGTCCACGGCGACGTGAAGCTGGACAGGGCGGCAGAGGGACCGCCGGGATCTCCAGAACCAGAACCGGTGAGGGACGTGGACTTGGACAGGCAGAAGACGGGTCAGAAGGTGAGCGTGCTCTCAGCTGGCGTTCTTCTCCTGGTTTTGGTTTCAGATTGAATTTCTTCCACACGAGGTCCTGACCTTTAACCTCTGCAAACTTTGGTTTTACCTTTGTGCATTTAAATGAAACATCTGCAGGATGCAGCTCTGACAAACTCGGGGCTCATGCGACCTGAAACAAATGATGCAATCATTAGACTGATCGGGGGGGGGGCATTTTAAGGTTGGTGCTTGGTGCACATGAAGGATCTGATGATGGTTCATCCATGGACATCAGTGAGTCCCGACCCAGCAGGTAGCAACGTGAAAAATAAGTAAACAAATAAAAGTACGTAGAAAAGAAATGAAGTCTGAGTGGGTCTGAACAGGATTCAGCTGAGTTTAGTAAAACGGTGACTGAAAGTTAAACCTGAGACCAACGTTCAGCTGTTGGAGAGATGAATGAGTGAAGGTGGTTTAACGCCCGCCTCCTTCACATCGGTGCACTCGCATCCTCGGCTGCTACACGTGATCCGTGAATGTAGGCCACTCGGGCTGCTGTCTCCACTATGATAAAATACACCCCTGTTATAGCACAAGAGGTGTGTGTGTGTGTGTGTGTGTGTGTGTGTGTGTGTGTGTCCTATTTAGGAGGTACAGCTACCCTCTGCCTGTGCACGTGAACACGAATCACGCCGTGTCTCCAGAGGACGCTGTCTGCCGTCTCTGCCGTCGCTCCCATGAGGACAAACATGATTCAGCCTTTCATTGACTCTGTGGAGCTGCTTTGTTTCTGCTCAGGCTTTATTCTGCCCAATAAAAACAGAAGAATGAAAACGCGACCGCAACAAAAACTGTAATGGGCTAAAAACGAGTCAGCCACACATGCAACAGCATCAACAGCTGCTGCGCTGCAGGACTGCAGCTAACGCTGTTTATTGCACCATGAAAACACCATGACTGTGTTCTGTAGTTCACGTTATTGTAAAATTACTTCTGTGGCACTGAAAGCGCTCTCTCCAGGCTCCCGGGGATCGTTCGATGGTCAGGGTGTATTCCCGTCTTTCCCAAAACATTCCCTTTGGGAATTTCTCAGCATGATTTCCTGTTTCAGTTGATTCCTCGGCCTGGAATCGACTGGAGCGGTCTCGCGGTATTTTTGCATCCATCGGCTGTGAGTTCTTACACTGAAATCCAGGAGCAGAGGAAACAGAAGCTGTCTGTCTGTGCTGGTGCCCCCCGAATGTAGTGTTTACGTGGAATACAGACTGGAGGGTGACGCAGGAACCTCGACACACCGTCTGTCCTTCTGTCCCGGGGGATCCCGAGCTGCTTCCAGGGGAAGGTTAGAGTAAACATATCCTCAGTGAGTTCTACCCCGAGGACTCCTCTCAGCTGGGAATAACTGCAAAACCTCCAGAAATCCTGATCAGATGCCAGAACAACCTCACCTGGCTCCTTTTGGCACTTGCTCGTCACATCAGGCACCAAACCAGAGGGATCGGTTAAGTCTCCATCACTCTGACCTCAGCGGACCCTCGGGTCCTCAGGGATGCTGAAAGTGCAACACTGGCTTTAGAGATGGTACCTGGAAGTGCTGCTTCATGCTGACGTGAACCAGTCTCCTCGGGAATATAAGGCGTCATTCTTTGGAGGCTGGTGTGGACATTTCCTGCTGGGCAGAGGCTGCAGGGTAGACCGGGATCAGTCAGAGACTCCTGGGTGTACGTCTCCTCCTGGCCTGGGATCACCTCAGGATCCCCGACAGGCTGGATGTGTGGACCAGCCTGTGAGCCTCTCTCGGGTCAAAAATGGGTGGATGTCCGTTATCATTGAGAGAGAGCGCCGTCACACTGTATGATTTAGAGACGGCTTCGTCCAGTGCCACAAGTCTCTTTGGCTTTCGGTTGAGTTCTGAAAGTGCTGCTCGGTTTTATCCGTGACCTGCACCTGTAGTATCAGAGGTGATGAATCATGTGACTAAAATAGGCCCGACACATCCTCTCAGCAGCTGGGGGACGTTCCCCTGCGGTCACGTTTAAATCATTCTGCTTCTCGTTTTATTCTCGACAGCAACTCTCTGCCGTGGGCAAGGGCCCACTTCCACTGGAGACAGCGGCGACCTTCAGTCTGCACTAACATCTGATTGGCTGCTTCAGTAGAAAGTTCTGATGTCGGGTCTTTAGTTTTTATGTGTGAAAGTCATCAAACCCAGGGACAGGAAGGGAATTTTACTCATGATCTTCAGCGCAGGCGGAGGTCGATGCGGTGCTTCACCTGCACCCTGCCGTCCAGCTTTCTACTGTGAAATCTGGCGGTGCGTGGAAAGCGGCAGACCTGAACGAACTGCAGCGTTACAGAACCTGAAACGATGAGCGGGACAGATCTGGCCTGCAGCGTGAAACACGCCGGGGATGTTTCTGGCCGCTTTGGCCTCCGAGCGATCATCAGAGCGTCGTTAAAGCGCCGCAGCCTTCCCGAGCGTTGTTGCATCCATCCGTGCAGGTTTGAGTTCATTAAACTTGAATCTGAGCTGACGTGAACAAACCGAAGGCTGCAATCAAACGCCGGATTTCTGCGGTTTGTCTGCTGTTTGCAGCGGCGGTGGGTCCCTGTGTTTCTCCGCACACATGTTTGGGCTGCAGGGCTGCATGTAAACCGTGATTATGTGTCTGTCAACAGGCAGCAGAGGTGGTCTTGGAACGGTGGCTCGCTGCTGCTCTCACACAGCTCAGCCTCATTTCCTGTCTCCTTCCATTGTTCTCCTCTTTGAGTGCTTCCACATGTCAGGCTTTGTCTCACCCACAGCGGCGCAGCGGGGCCCTCTGTTGGCCGTCGCCTGTAATGGCAGCGTGGCAGCTCTGTTTTCCACGTGTTGGGACAGAGCGTGCTCCGTGACCTTGTGTCGCTTTTCCTCACGCGTGAGTCCGGACGACGCAGTCCTGTTGGTGTTACTGCGTCCACACTGGAGGGTTTGCTGTCATCCTACAATGATCCAAACTGGAGCAGTGAAAACAGTGACATTTGACTGAGTCGTGATCTTTATGCTTTCAGTCAGAAGAGCAGTGGTAGGGCTGGGCGATACGACCCAAAATTCATATCTGGATATTCTTTAGCTGGATGGTGATATACGATATAGATCTCGATATTTTTTTAAAGCCATAAAGTAAGAACAAAAAGAGAGTTCTTAGTCACACTGTCCCAGATCTCACACGGGCACCTTTATTAACATACAGCGTAGATGTACTCAGAAATAAATGATCAGCATTAAATAATAATGCTCCATAAATAAAATAAAACAATGTTGTTTTTGTGCATAACGAAAAGCTCATAGTTGTGAAGTCAAAATGTAAACTAACAGACGCTGAGCATAAACAAGCATCTGTGGCCCTTATACACACAGTACGGTGACATTACGCTGAAGCACAGTACGTATCACTCCGCCAGGCTCCTCGGTAGCTGTAATGCTCCAACAATCCATCAAGCGCTGCAGCTTCGTAGCTCAGCAAAGTCCAACTAAAACATTTGTTGCTGAGCCTGTGCAGCACATAAACGCGGTTCGAGGTCAGTAAACACAACCAGAATTCATACATACGGCACACTGTCGATTTTTGAGAAAATCAAAGGATTTTAGGCGTCAACGCGTTAGCCCGGTTAGCGTGTTAGCCCGGTTAGCTCGTTAGCGCGGTTAGCTGGTTAGCTCGTTAGCCCGGTTAGCTCGTTAACGCCGTCCAGCCCCACGCACGGGGCGATCCGCGGTAACTTGTTAACGGAGATTTGCCCCTTTAATGCAGTTATGGCGTTAACGTGATTTTAACGAGATTACCGCTACCACCACTAAAACACTAATCTCCAAATGTTGTCTTTTTGTCGAGCAGCTCCTCTTTGATAGCTGCCGTGTCCACTTCATTGTGGCCACTACGTGACTGTAGCCCCGGGTTACCCGCTGAGGGTAACTTCCTGTTTTCACTTCCTGTTTCTCGACTTGCTACAACAAACCTGCTCAGTCAGAGGGAAGCGTTCCCACAGGCGCGAGTGGAGCTCTGACGGTTGATTCTGCAGTTTGACCCTCTGTTAGCTACAGAAGCTGCACATGTCAGCGACAGGTGTTCTTACTGCAGTACACCTGTTGCTGTCTCAGCAGCTCGTGCATAAGCTAAATAAGGTGAAGGCTGTTTTCTTTTTTCAATTTCTTCTATAGCTTATTATGGTCGCATGAATATTTGTGATGCTGATAATCGTGTTGTGAAAACCTGATGTTGTGACGATATCGTGACGCCTCAGACTGAACTTCCTTTGGACGCTTGATCAATAAAACAAAGCATGAAAATTTTTATCTGCTGAAGTAAAATCATAACCTGTGATTGGACGTGACAGCAGGACATTGATAAATCAGGATTCCTGCTCTCTTCAGTGCCGGCACCTCCCGGTTTAAACTGTCTATCACTGTGATCGATATATCGATTGATCAATCGATTGCACTCACATTTACTTCAGTAAATCTCAGCTGCTTTAGTTGATCTCCGAACACCTGCGATGGTCTCAGCTTTGATGCCAGGATGTCCTTACTTTTGAGGGAGCACTCTGGGTCGTGCGAGAGGCGAGTGGTTGTTCTGTGGAGGAAATAAGGACGAGGTCTTTGCTGTCCGCCTGCCAGAGGGGACAGATTTACTGCGTGCTGCAGGACAAGCGCTACGCTTAGTTTTATTTCTGTTAAAGTCATTAAAAACACGCAGCGTGAAAATGATGTGAGAGTTCGCTGGCAGCAACCTCAGAAATTCCAGTTGGGTGGGTCCAGATTTGGTGCTTTTTTTCATGTTGTTTTCCTTCATAACTTCATGAGGAAACATCAACATGTTCAGGGCTGAAAAACTCATTTGAGCTAAAAGTCAAAGTTTCCAGCAGGTTGCAGAAACTGTTCCACATGTTTCAAGTCTTTGATCTCTGAGTAAAACACAGCATGTCTGTCACATCGTCCCTCCCTCTGTCTTTACCTGCCAGCGTGCGTCCGTCTCTCCCACCTGTGTGCGGTTTAGCCTTCATGTCACCGTCTGACCTCCCGGTCTCTTTGTCTCCTTCTCCATCAGGACCTGGAGCTGCTCGATTCAGTGCTGCGCTCCCGAGCTCCGGGCGCCGACGCTCAGGAGGCCTGGGATGGCCGCGGCGGCGTCAACCCGGCCGGCTCGCGCCGGCAGGAGCGCAGCCGACAGCTGTGGGAGGACGCGGGCACGGCGGAGGAGGACTCGAGCAAACTGAACGCTCTGCAGCTTCGCCTGGACGAGTCCCAGAAAGTCCTGCTGAAGGAGAGAGAGTAAGAGAAGCGGGAAAAACACGACTTCTGGTTCTGTCAGCAGGGACAGCCCGAGGTCGAACCGTCAGAGAAACATAATCTAGTCATAAATCCGCATTTCACCATAGAAATCCTTCTTGTCTGTAATGTTTTTTATCGATCGCGCCCAGAGATGTGAAACTCGTTTTACGAGTTATGTTGTCGTTTCCACACCATCAGAAATCTGTAAAGACAGAAAAAAAAGACTGTCGGCTCGACTCTGAAACGGTAAGAACGTGAAGGTCACAGAGAAAGCACAAGAAAGCAAACAAACCACGAACACACGACAGATCGTACAGAAACAGGAAGTCTTCTGCCATTACATTTATTTTCTGTTATTTTATCACTCTGTTCTAGCACGAGTGGGTGTGGCGGGGAGTGTGGCGTGATTCATTCGTGCTGTCTGTTTCCCTGCAGAGATAAGCTGGCTCTGAGTAAGAGCATCGAGAGACTCGAGGCTGAGCTCAGTCAGTGGAAACTGAAGTACGAGGAGCTGAGCAAGAGCAAGCAGGAGGCTCTGAAACAGGTGAGGCACAGCACAGGTCACCTGAGCACAGCGGACGCTGCTTCGCGGGACGGTCCGTCTTCTTTAAACGTGCGCTCTGACTGTTTTTCTGCTAACAGACGAGCGCTCGTGTCTCTGAGCTCCGTGGTTCATCGATCACTGACCTGCTGTCGCACAACAAGAAGACAAAGACAGAGCAAAGCAGCCGAACCGAAAGAAAGCAGAAGGAGCAAACGTGACAAATACATCAAAAGTGCAACGAAGGAAGCCGGAGTGCGTGATTCTCAGGGACTTCCTGCTAGACACGCGCTCGACTTACAGCTTGAATTTCATAGAAAATGTTCCTCACTTCAGATTTTCACACAGTTTGGTCCACGTGACGCTCGCAGACGGTCCACAAATAATTAGCGTTCATAACATTTAGTCAGCTGAATGTGAGAGCTGCGGACGGCGTTTGAATTTCACGACAAAAGGACGATGAACACAGGTCGTGATTGTTTCAGCTCATTAAACTCGGTGTGCAGCAGCTGCACAGCATCATGCGTCTGTGACGTGTTCACTTTGAATTTTCTGTGTTTACTTCTTTATACATCAGTTACTGTCAAACAGCAACTGATGCAACAGGACAGGTGCAGCTAACGTGCACAGCTGACCTTCAATTCAGCATAAATAACAACAACAACAGCTGTTACAAATAAATAGGAACATGTAAGAAGAGCAGGAGTTCTTAAACATTTCAGTGATCACAGTTTTGCTTTCGGGTCTTTGAATGTTTTTATTTCTGGTGTTCAAACCTGTGGCCTCTGCTGATCGCGCAGTGATCGTCAGTCATCACGAGTCATAAACTTTTCAAACCTTAAAATGACTTTACTAAGAAGTCTGATCGCTTCAAATGTCCCGGCAGGTCTTCAGCTGCAGGAGGCCTGCTGTGCTCAGCAGCGTCCAAATCATAAAGCCGAGTGTGACGATCTCTGTCTTTCCAACCACTAGGGGGCAGCACCGCTCCGCAGACGGCAGGTCTGATGAACATGAGTTAGATAAAAGCAGCAAAGTGGGGGTGGGGGGGCAGAAGATGTGAGAGATGTGTAGATGATGATGAAGGTGACGGAGTTCGTAGATAAGCGTGTTAGAAGATGCAGATGAAAGCGGGATCGCGCTGCAGGTTGGAGGAGGCGGATGAGACGAGGGGTCACGCTTATCTCCACGCATGTTGTTTCAGATCCTCCAACATCACAGGAGGCGTCTCACAGTGTCTGCTTTAAAGAAACAGCCGCCTCCCCCGAAAACGTCCAGATAACATTAAATGTCAGGCGGCTTAAACGTGGATTTATTTCTAACATCAGCCTGAACGATGAAAGCCTGAAAGTCACTGAAAGATTAAATGTTCAATGTCTTCATCCTGCAGCTGAACCTGCTGAAGGAGATGCACCAGGACGAGCTGGGACGCATCTCCGAGGACTTGGAGGACGAACTGGGAGCTCGAACCAGCATGGACAAGAAGCTGGCCGAACTACGAGCTGAGGTGAGGGACCTGACAGCAGCGCGCGGGAATCACGACCCCGAGAAAAGCCGTGGGAGACGTGAACGGACGTCGCTAACATTTATCAACAATTTCATACAGAATCAGATGAAAAATGTCAGACTGCTAAAAACAGTCTGTGAGTTTGTGGGTGCAGAAGCACTCAGGGAGGGGCGGCCCCCCGAGACAGACATGAATAATCAGTAATGATTACATGCAGATGGATAAACACACAGTGAGTGAAGCACCCAGTGCATCATGGGAATCCCCCAGCAGCCTATAGCAGTGTAGCTTCAGAACAGCTGTTTATGTTATTTTAAGGCTAAAGTGGGCATTATTAGGGGTGTGGCCTCTTTGACTGACAGCTGGATGTTTGGGCCGCCGTACAGTCAATCCTGTCTCCATCTGAGGCGTGTCGTGTGTTTCCTACAGATGGAGCGGCTGCAGGTGGAGAACGCCGCAGAGTGGGGGCGTAGAGAGCGCCTGGAGACCGAGAAGCTGGGCCTGGAGAGGGACAACAAGAAACTGCGAGCTCAGGTTGAAGACCTGGAGGAGCAATTAGCCAAGCAGCGCCGGCAGGCCGCCTCCGCGCTCGACAGCGACCTGAAGGCCATCCAGACCGAGCTGTTCGAGAGGAACAAGGTGGGCGGGGCTTTCTGCGTGCTTACTTCCCTCTCTTCTTTCCTTTTCCTCGCGTGTTCCTCCACGGTCTCATCCCTCTCGCTGCACAGCTGTCAGGTTTTTTGCTCCTTCATTTCACGACACCGTGGAAATCCCTCCACAGATGTAGAGACGGGCGGCGTTCGGTCCGAGGCGGGCGTTCGGTCCGAGGCGGGCGTTCGGTCCGAGGCGGGCGTTCGGTCCGAGGCGGGCGTTCGGTCCGAGGCGGGCATCGGCCGGCTGAATAACGAGGAAATCACAGAAGTAAACTAAGTCTAATCAAAACCTCGTGACAGTCTGAGCTCCTGCTGAAGGGGGGAGACGCCGCCGGGTCACGGGGTGTCCATGTCGTCATGGTTACATGCAGGTTAACTGACATCCAATAATACAGATGGAGAAACTTGTACATGGGCAGAGACGGTGAAAGGTGAGGTGTCTCGAGCTGAGACGAGCAGGTTCATCAGCTTTAACCCGTTTCGAAGGTTGCAGATAAAAAATAGAAGATTAACAAACTTCAGCTTTTATTTCCTTCAAGCAGAAGATGAGAAAGTTTCATTCAGGTGAAACAGCGTACCTGTAACCTCAGGTCAGGGGGTCGTTAAGGTCAGACGCCCTCCGAGCGCCGACGCTCATCCTGCCTCTCCCACAGCTCGTTAAATAAAGTGAGGAGTTAAAAAGAGAATTTCTGTGGCAGCTCAGAGTTAACCCGAGTCTCATCAGGTGCCTTCCACCTGCGACGATTACACGTTACTTACTTTCCCTGCAGCTGACGCAGGTCGCATGCTGCACATGCAGAGCAGCTGCAGGCTTAGTGCCACGTTTGTGTGGACGACACAGAGGAGACGTTTCCACCAGCAGCTGCTGCCTCTCACATTTCCACTGATTCACAAACGAGGTTGAAAGTGCAGGTTTGGTTTCCTGCACACCGATGAGCTCGCGCTACGTGTTTGTGCCCCGACCTTGACTTTCAGGAACAGAGTGTGTGTGTGTGTGTGTGTGTGTGTGTGTGTGTGTGTGTGTGTGTGTGTGTGTTTAAAAACAGAAAGATTGATTGTGTTTTGTGTTTAGTGTTAAAACCACAGTATTGATCCGCACAGCGAACAATAAACAGGGCGAGTGATTGAAACGCACACACACACACACACACACACACACACACACGCAGATTGATTGATAGATGTGGATGCTACAGCACAGATTGATGTTCACTGTCACACACACACACACACACACTGTCCGTGTGTGTGTGTGTGTGTGTGTGTGTGTGACAGATAAGTCACCTGATCACAGTGAGGCGGGATGATGAGGAGAGGTAGGCGGAGGTGCGAGGTAAGAAACGGCGTTTAAAGGAAGTGCCGTGGTCACGAGGTTTCAGCAGCGACTTTGACGCCGGTGGGCCCAAAGTGGGCGGGGTTAAACTTTTGAACTGTTCCCAAATATTAGAAGCGAGTTATTGAAGCGATCTCCAGCGGGAGGAGTGATTCACCAGACTGAATCACTTCCTGTGTGGACATCCCCACCGTCCAATCAGCTGACAGTTGTAACCAAATGAATTCATAAAATACTAAAGAACAGCAACAGCTGATAAAAAACAAGCAGAAAACACCAAAGATAATAAAAACTCATCATTTAAATTCCTGAAAGAAGAAGAAATCCAGCAAAAACTAATCATAGGTCTTTGAAAACGATCAAACCAACACAAGGATAAATACAATTAACTGATAATAAAAAGCAAATTATTAAACGCCCAAACAGAAATCAGCAAAAGAAGCAGAAATGAAATAAAATAATAATTTAGGTGAGACTTCCTAAAGAGGAGCAGAGCACAGCTGGAGCTGTGACATTAAGAAGTGAAAGCCTGATCCAGGTGACCCGAGGGCTCAGGTGGGTTCATAGCTCATCAGAGACGTGCTGAGGTCTGTACACGCCTCCGCACGGAGCTGAGGCCCATTTTTTTCAGCTTCCTGTGAAAGTGTGTGATGCTGCTGCAGTTCACAGGTCAGACTCGGGCGAGACAATCGCACCAATGATCAGGCAACATCTGAACCTTCCCAGGGCAGGAAACACTCCTGCTTCACCAACACGTTTAAGTTTTGGCTGAGAGGCTGAAAAAAGTCCAAATCTGATCCTGGCAGCACAACACAAACGAGGAAAAAGGCCGTGAACATCCAAACACAGAGGTCAGAGTTCAACAGCTTCAGAGCTCCAAGACAGCAGACAAACACGAACAGGCTCCTAGACGGGCTGCATACACACAGAGTAAGAGACTATCAAAATAAAACAGGAAGTACCATCGACGAGACATGAGAGGATTCTGGGAATGAACTGAATAACCAGGAATCACACATAAGTCTAAACACCGTCCATCACAGGTAAAGATCCAGGATAAAAATGCCAAAAGACAGAATACAAAACTCTGAGTATCAAAGAACTACAAACACAAAATGAACACGCAGCAAACACGTCAGAGTAACCACACAGAGAGCAGAGGCCACGCTTTCATTTTCTCTTTCATTACTGCCGACGAGCATGGCGTCACACGGCGAGCCTCCCCGTGCTGTCAGCGGTTCGATCGGTCGAGTCGTTTGAGGTCAGGTCAGGCCGTACGGTGCGCATCCCAGAGTTCAGCGGGGCTGGATGCTGCATCAAAGAAACATCTGGAAGAAGATCAGTGAGTGGATAAACAGTCTCCATGTGAGGAGGTCATTTAGGTTTTTTCTCAAAATGTCACAAATAACAAGTCTGCAAGGAGGGTAAGCAGTCAGTGAAACATCAGGAATGAATGATTACAAGGCCAACAGAGAGAGAGAGAGACGGGTTCATGCTTCAAACACAGGTCAAAGACCAGAGAGCTCAGTGTGAGGCCGTCTGCCCCACAGCTCGCACCAAACAGGACGACAATCCCAGCACAGCAGCAAACAACAGAGCTGCCGCAGTGGTCCAAGGTCCAGACTGTGTGTGTGTGTGTGTGTGTGTGTGTGTGTGTGTGTGTGTGTGTGAGATGATCTCTGGTCCTTTTAAATGGCCTCATTAAGCAGCAGGGTGGGTGGCAGAAGTGTGTGTGCGTGTTTGTCAGTGTAAGTGGCCTCCATTACCGCCCATCCCACAGGGTTATTTATGAAGATGTCAGGCTGATTTAATGCTGCATTTAACACGCGCGGACACACACGCACAGTCACACACACGCACACACACACAGTCACACACACGCACACACGCACAGTCACACACACGCACACACACACAGTCACACACACACACACACACACAGTCACACACACACACACACACACAGTCACACACACACGCACACACACACAGAGTAAAGATTCAGCGTAATGAATCAAAGGAAGTCAGACAGAATAATAATTAGACACTGTTTGAGCTGAAGCTGACTCGTAGTCTGTGAGGAAGACTCTGATGAAGAGGAGGAAAAGATGGCCGAAGGATAAAGAAGTTTGTCCTGGTGGATTTTTGTCAAGGACCTGTTCAACGAGCTATTTAATAAAAAAAACGTGGGACAGGAAACGGCAGAGTTTGCTGGTTAATTGAGATTAGACCTTCAAAATAAGAGCGAGGCATCTGATTGGTGAGCTGCTCTATTTTTGTTCCCAACCTTTCATTTTACTTCCTTCTGCTCCATCTTTTCTTTGTGTCTCTTCACATTTTCTTCCTCTTTGTGTTTCATTGAGCCGATATCGCCAAACCGCTCCGAGAAGCGCGCACAAGCCCCTCCCCCACTGTACGACTCCCGGGCAGCCCTCGTTATAAAACCAATTCTCCTCTTCATCGTCTGTGGGACTGCTGTCTAAATTAATGCTAAATTCTGCATGACAGAGGGGGAAGGGTGTGTGTGTGTGTGTGTCTCTGTGTGTGTGTGTGTGTGTGTGTGTGTGTGTGTGCGTGCGCGTCTTTGTTTTCTGTGAGCAGATGTAGCAGCAGACTTCAGGGTCTTTGCAGTCAAGGAGAAACATTTAACAGGCAGCGCAGCGTAACACACACACACACTCTCACGCACTCACACACATTTGAAGGACGGCAAACATTCCTGCTCATACGCCGTCCTGTAATCCATGTTTAATGGAGTCAGGGACTTCCCGCCCCTCCCCCCTTGCCTCCCCGCCCTCCCCCGTCCTCTCCTCTTCTTCCACCCTCTCAGACAGCCATCGTCTGGAAATGATAAGACTGGGGGGATATTGAGGTCTCTGACCTGCTAAAGATAAAAGCAGGAAGTCCTCAAACCTCTCTGGCTGCAGATATTAAAATTAAATCACCTGCAGTAAATTAACTGAGTTCACACTGAAATAAGGACGGGCAAGATTTTAGAGATGTGTCGTTGTTGGTTCTTTATTAATAACAGAGCAGTGTTTATGAGGAAAGATGGAGGCGGCGAGGGACGTCTCGCCGTGTGTAAAAGCAGGTTTGTTCCGCAGTATCAGAAAGTCATCATTGAGAAAACAGTTCAGTTTTATTTATTTAGCAGCAAATTAGCACAAACCAACGATCAGACCTCTGTGAGCCGCGCTCGGGGAGCAAGAACCCGGCTCGGCCTCTATTGTGCTTTCTGCCCCGAACGTGTCAGAGTGAGAAATGCAGCAGCATCACTGAGGCGTGGCAGAGAACGGCCTGATCCAGCTCACCGACCAGCTTCGAGAGGGAAACGTCACACGGAGTGTAATTATCTCCTGAATTTAGCCATGTTTTATTAAATAAATCATTTTCATTAAACGTGGAAATATGATTATATTTTTTTCCTGGATATGAAACTGTACGGGCAGCACAGAGGTCCTGGGTCGGCTCTGTGTGGAGTTTGCGTGGGTTCTCTCGGGTACTCCGGCTCCCGGAGACATGCAGTTAGTGGCCACAGGAGTGACACACTGTCCAGGCTGTAGCCTGTTGTGAGATGATCAGGACCCACACAGTGTGCGATTGTTGCTTACAGCACTTTTATTTTGACCCACAGTTTTCCACTGTTTCAGCACTTTGTATTCAACCAGGATGCCAGCTTTCCAGCACCTTCCCACACCACACAAACCACTCCTTCCCGACCCCAGACACTGAAAAAGGGCAGAGTTCATTAGTGGCACCTGTCGCCTCCGACCTCGCAGCACCGCCCCATGTGCTTATCGTACCACCCCTCCATTGCAGCAGAGCCAGAGACCACACCCCTGCCACACCCATCTCTAGTTATAGGCCCGCGTGACCCTGATAAGGATAAGCCACAGATAACGGATGAAACTGCACAGCTGGGGTTACATGACATTAAATGTTACAGTGACAGCTGTAGACTGATCTGTAGCTGATCGAGCGGACCTGTTCCTGTGTTGGATGATAACATGTCCAACCTTTCTAATAATGAGCTCGCTGCATGTGCAGTAATCTCTGCGAGCCAGAAACTCAGATTAATCTAAATACACAGTTTATCAGTTTTTTCTACCCTTGGATCCAGATGATGGCGCTGAGAGGGGGTAGAAACCCCACCCACCAACTGCTCAAACATGTTTATGAGGGGCAACCAATCAAAAGAAAGTTGTCTTAAAAGGGGAGGAGCTAAAACAGCTGGTTTCAGATGGAGGATGAACTGAGGGGCTGCGCAGAGGATCAGGTACAGAAGGATTATTTTGGACTGTGAATCATGCAAAGCTGCTCTGGAAGGGTCAGTTAGCATTGCCGTGGTTCCTGTGATATAGATCCACTGGGATTATCCCACAGGTGTTTATCACAGAAAAGTTTATGATAATCCATAAACAGGCGCTACTGTTTTTTAGGCTAATAGATGAAGCATCGTCACGGCTCGAGCGTGGCTGAGCTCCGGTGTTTCCCAGGATGTCCCTGACTGGGACGTGTTCACAGATCTACTGACGTATTTATGTTGGAGGACCAAACAAGCAGATGTGAAGTGTCAAACTCTTTACTCCAGACGTCCAACCTTTGAGAGGATGGAAAAGATCATTTGTGGGTTTAAACACTTCCAGAATTGTTTTTGCTGGTAAAATAATCCAAGAAAATATGCAGTGTGTCATCTAAGCAAGTACTGTGTTGCCCCTTTTTAAAGACGTTACCAGTAAGGAGCTCGCCAAAGCAGAGCAGTCATGTCAGTAGGGATGGGTATCGTTTAGGTTTTATCCGATACCGGTGCCAAATCGGTACTTTTGAAACGGT